GACATGGCCACATGGGGCTACCCAGATGCCTCTCCTCTTCCGGGAGGAGGCCACCCCTGCACTCCTTGAATTTCGGACCAGCTCAATCCTCGTACCCTGTGCGGGCTGCTCTGAGAGTCAGCTCCCATGCTGGTGAGCAGGCGCAGGGAGCAGATGACCTACTGATAGTTGGGTAATTTGAGCAGAATTTAATAGAGTCTATTTGGCCGGCGCCGCGGCTCACTAGGCTAATCCTCCGCCTAGCGGCGCCGGCACACCGGGTTCTAGTCCCGGTCGGGGCAACGGATTCTGTCCCGGTTGCCCCTCTTCCAGGCCAGCCCTCTGCTGTGGCCAGGGAGTGCAGTGGAGGATGGCCCAGGTGCTTGGGCCCTGCACCCCATGGGAGACCAGGAAAAGCACCTGGCTCCTGGCTCCTGCCATCGGATCAGCGCGGTGCGCCGGCCGCAGCGCGCCAGCCGTGGCGGCCATTGGAGGGTGAACCAACGGCAAAGGAAGACCTTTCTCTCTCTCTCTCTCTCACTGTCCACTCTGCCTGTCAAAAAAACAAAAAACAAAAAACAAAAAATAGAGTCTATTTAAGGGCTGGTGTCGTGGTGTGATGGGTTAAGCTGCTGCCATGGGGGCACCAGTTAGAGTTCCAGCTGCTGCACTTTCCATCCAAGTCCCCGCTAATGTGCGTGGGAAAAGTGCTTGGGCACCTGCCACCCACCTGGGAGACCCGGATGAAGGTTCCAGCTCCTGGCTTCAGCCTGGCCCAGTGCTGGCTGTTGCAGCCACCTGGGGAGTGAATGAGCAGACAGAAGATTCTCTCTCTCTCTGTAACTGACTTTCAAATAAATAAATTTTTTTAAGAAGTGTCTCTCCACAGAGGCGAGGGCAGGGTGAAGGGGAAGTCCCAGCGGCAGCGCAGTGGCCGGCACCAGTCACAAGCCCGAGGCCGTGAGCAGAGGCGCCGGGCTCAGGCTCCAAAGCCAGAGCTGCCACCCATGCTGCTGCTGAAAGGAAGACAGTGAGCAGGGCTCCCCCTGCCCTCTCTCTCTCTCTCTGCGTCCCCTCCCCAACTCCGCTGGCCAAACCTAGAAGCCGGAGGGGAGGGGGCCCAGAGGCATCATGGGACTCGCATCCCCAGAGGCAGGGTGGAGGGGGCGGAGACAGGGCCTGAGAAGGCTCTGCAGGCCCAGCTTGGCTGAGCACCCTTCGTTACCACAGTTCACCTCTCGGGCAGTCCTGGGGTGCTGGCACGCGCACCCCTCACTCCCCCGACAGGAAGCCTGCAGCGGAGACAGTGAAGCGCTTTGCTCCAAAGGCCAGAGGGAGGATTAGGACCTGTGCTCAGTCTGGTTCCAGAGCCGGGCTCGGGCCAGCCCTGTACACTCAGAAGGGACCTCAGGGACTGGTGTCGTGGCACAGTGGGTGAAGCTGCCACCTGCAAGGCTGGGATCCCCTATGGCATCGCCAGTTTGAGTCCTGGCTGCCCCTTCTCCTTCCTTCCTTCACCTTCTCCTCCTTCTAAGATTTATTTGTTTATTTGAAAGGCAGAGTGGCTGGCACCGCGGCTCACTAGGCTAATCCTCCACCTGCGGCGCCGGCACACCGGGTTCTAGTCCCGGTTGGGTGCCGGATTCTGTCCCAGTTGCCCCTCTTCCAGACCAGCTCTCTGCTGTGGCCAGGGAGTGCAGTGGAGGATGGCCCAAGTACTTGGGCCCTGCACCCCATGGGAGACCAGGAGGAAGCACCTGGCTCCTGGCTTTGAATGGGCACAGCGTGCCGGCTGTAGCAGCCATTTTTGGGGTGAACCAACGGAAGGAAGACCTGTCTCTCTCTCACTGTCCACTCTGCCTGTCCAAAAAAAAAAAAAGAATAGACTGAGTCCGTTATTGTCTTGGTTTAATTTGTGCTGCTATAACAACACCAGAGCCTGGGTAACTTATAAAGAAACTTGATTCGCTCATAGTTCTGGGGACTGGGAAGACCAAAACCGAGGCGCCGGCATCTGCTGAGGCTGGGTCGGAACCTGGTGGCAGCCATCTCAGGGGTGAGAGTCTGGGAGACAGCGAGAGAGAACCGAACTCATTTGATAATAAACTCACTCTTGCATAGCAAACTCACTCCCAGGATGACAATGTAGATCCACTCACGGGAGCTGAGACCTCAAGAGCCAGTCACCTCTTCTCAGCACAGCTGCACTGGTAGCAAGTTTCCAACCCATGAGCCTTGCGGGGAGGCATTCAAACCAAGCAGCCAGGCCTTTAGTTAACATTTTTTAAAAGATTTATTTTGGAGGGGCTGGCGCTGTGATGTAGCAGGTAAAGCCACTGCCTGCAATGCCGGTATTTTATATGGGCGCCTGTTTGAACTCCCTGCTAATGGGTTGGGAAAGCAGCAGAGGGTGGCCCAAGTGCTTGAGCCCCCTGCATCCACATGGGAGACCTGGAAGAAGCTCCTGGCTCCTGGCTTCATCCTGGCCAAGTCCAGGCTATTGTGGCCATTTGGGGAGAGATACAGCAGGTGGAAGTTCTCTCTCTCTCTGTCACTCTGCCTTTTAAATAAATAAAACAAATCCATTTTTTAAAATACCCCCCAAACAGCCAAACTCCATCTAGGTTTCCTGTGTGGGTGGCAGGGGCCCAGGGACTTGGGCCACCTCTGCTGCTTTTCCCAGGACATTAGCAGGGAGCTGGATTTGGAAGTGGAGCAGCTAGGACTCAAACCAGTGTCCCTGTGGGATGCCAGTGTCACAGGCAGTGGCTTAACCTGCTATGCCACAATGCCAGTCCTGAGATAGAATGTTTTTTAAGTTAAATCATGGATGGAAGATGTATGAGTTATAAATGAGCTCGGGGTACCTGCAGCCCGTCTCCAGGATTCGGGGTTGATACCCACCCTGGCCACCTGTTGCAGGAATAACCTCACAGCAGCTGGCTGACTCTGGCAGAGGCTCTGGATGTGTCTGGGTGAGAACCGTCTTTGCCTCTGTCTGTGGGCTCATTCCTACTCCTTCCTCCCCACCTTCTGCATGCACAGCGAGGGCACAAGAGGAAGGCGGCTAGCCTAGGGACAGAGCACTGAGTCAGGAGTCAGCAGGCCTCAGTTTCAGTCCCAGCTCTGTTACTCCCTAAGCGGGCTCAGCTGTGGTGCGTGGAGGGGTTAGACTACGGGGTTGTCTGAGGGGCCTCTTGGCCGTCCCTAACTCGAAGGCTCGTCCTACCCATCTTACAGGCTTGTGCTGGGGACAGAGTGACACTGTGAGAGAGGAGAATGATGACCCTGCAGCGACTCCTCCTCGCAAACATGTGCACAGCACGCCACACCCTGATTCTGAGCTTGCTCGTCCTTGTTGTGCCTGGGAGGACGCCCCAGGCAGGCTCTGACTTCACGCAGAGGCTTCCATCTTGCTTTGGCTGGCAGGAAAGAAAGCAATGGTGGAGCCAAAAGCCTGAACCCCCAGTGAGGATGCTGGATGTGGAACTTGGGCCAGGGACATCAGAAAGCAAGTGAAGCTGGGGAGTCGGGAGGAAATCATTAGAGCAAGAACTGTAGACGACCCGGGGGACTGAGCCAGGCCATAGAGGGCAGCACAGCTCCTTCCTCCCTTCATTACTCTGGGTGCCCCCCACCCAGTCGGGACAAACGCCCGCCCGATGAAGGGCACAGCCCCCAACAAGACTGCTTTCACTTCCGATGTCAGCTGCAAGCTCCGGGGTCTCCACACCGCCCCTACTTCCCACTGATGGGCGACAAAGTTGGGGGAGATTCCCATTACGCATTCACATTTGATAATTCACCTGGACAACTAAGAGCACGCAGGCAAGTGCTGTTGTTGAGATGACAGCACGTCAAAGCGGCACGACCAGCAAAGCGCAGAGCCACATCGGGTGAGGTATGGGGGCGGGGGGAGTTCTGGGTGCCAAGCTGCCATGGCCTCTGCCTGTGGACTCGGGCTGTGTCACTGGGTCACCCTCCAGCCACTCAACATGGGCCACAACCAGGAAGCTCTACTGGGCTTTGTCTCCTGAGTTTTGATTAGGGTCTCATCACTCAGGCGTGCATGATGAAACCACGGGCTGGGGTTAAGTCTGCTCTCTCTGCTCTTGCGTGGCTCCGAGCCCCCGTCTGCTCCACCACATGGCCACCTGATGCAGCACAGCAGCACTGACTTTACCATTTTATTTATTCGAGAGGCAGAGAGACAGGGAGACAGAGCGAGAGTGTCCGTCCCGTGGTTCATTCCCCAAATGCCCCCAGGGGCTGAGATTGGGTTGGAATGGGAGATGGAAACACAATCCAGGTCTCCCACATGGGTGGCACAAGTCCTTGAGTCAGCACCTGCTGCCCCCCAGGGCTTGCATTAGCAGGAAGCTGAAGCTGGAAATGGAACCCAGGCACTCCCATATGGACTGTAGGTGTCTTGCATTCATTACATTAAATGTCTGCATTTAAAAAAAAAGATTTATTTTATTTATTTGAAAGACAGAGTTGCAGAGAGAGGTAGAGTCAGAGAGAGAGGTCTTCCATTCCACTGGTTCACCCCCCAAAATGACCACAATAGCCAGAGCTGAGCCGAAGCCAGGAGCTTCTTCTGGGTCTCCCACGTGGGTGCAGGGGCCCAAGGACTTGGGCTATTTTCTACTGCTTCCCCAGGCCACAGCAGAGAGCTGGATCGGAAGTGGAGCAGCCGGGACTCGAACCAGCACCCGCGTGGGATGCTAGCACTGCAGGCCAGGGCGTTAACCCGCTGCACCACAGTGCTGGCCCCACGTTTCTTGAGAGGATTACTAGAGTTGTATGCTTCTTAAGCATCACAGCAGGAGACAAATGAAGCTAGTTCGTCCTTCTAATAATAATCAAGCTTGATTATTTGGTTAAGGTGGTGGTCAAAGGGTCAGGCTCGCTTTCAACGAGAGAAACCTTAAGATTATTGGCATGGACCGGCCCAGCAGCCGGCCTTCGCCGCCCGCCCTCGCCTTCGGGAGCACCAGGAACGGGGAACGGCAGGACGTGGCACGAAAGCAGGTATGCGTGCTACCCGCGGCGGCACGCCTGCACGCATGTTCCGCTCTGTCCTGCCCTTCACAGCTTGGCAGTCTATGCCTTTTTGTTCTGAGGCAGGCACCTTCCACGTTGGGAACTCTGGGCTGGGCCCCGCCGTGTCTGCCTCTGCGGCGTTTCTGCGCGCAGCCGGCCAGTCAAGTGCTTCCCCGTCTGGGCTTGGTATGGTCTACGACCTCCCTTCATCTCTTCTCACGATGGTTGCGCCCACATCACAGGAAGTGTTTGCTTCTCGGCCTTCCCGTCATGCTTCGCGGCCCAACATGGAGGGCCTTCCCAGTCTGAGCTCCTCCGGCGGAGGCTCTGCACCCGCTGGGTCAGCCCCGACCTCGATGACCCTGGCGCAGCTCTTGCAGGTGGTTCAGCAGGGCCAGGAGGTCCCGGGCCTGGAGAAACTGCACATTACGGCGACCCATGGCGAGCCCACGGCGTCCGTGCTCCCGCGGAAGCCCAAGCCCTGGGAGGCCGCGGGCCCGACTGACCCGCCGCGCGCGTCCGCCCTCGGCCCGGGGCCCCAGGCCCCGGCCACTCTTGGCTAGAGGACCGGCCCCGCCGAGGCAGCAGCGGCACCTTCGGAAATGAGTACTGTGGTTCCTGAGGTTCGAGGGACTTTGCCGCTGAGACCTGGGGCGCGTGGCGGCGTCCTGCAGGAACTCGCGACCCTGGATAACCAGCCGTGGCCTCTCAGCTGGAGTTGATCCTGGAAGCATCATCAGGATGTGCTGTATTTGTATTTCTGAACCGTAACCATCCGTTAAGAAAAAAAATCCTTTTTCGATTCTTTACATGCAACTGAAGCAAAGCTTATACTTTACTGCCCGCGGTGCGTTTTCATTTCAAACACCCTGCCCAGGCCAATCCACAGGGAGGGGTTATGTGGGGGATCGGAAGTGCTTTACTCGGGGGTCCGTTTATTCTGGTAGTAATGGAAAGCTAGGAGCCACGTGGCATCTGCATCTTAGATGGCTACTTTCCAGATAGTCAATAAAAGTTTTTTTTTTTAACCTTTTCAGAATGTGTTCAAAGACACTGAAATTCCAAACCATCTTTAAAAAGCTAACTTTGGTTGACTTGGGGTCTTGGAGCCAGGTGATCAGACAAGGGGCTCGAGAATTAGAGTAAATTCCCATCGCTGTCTTGTGATGCCACTGCATCTACTCTTGCTCCTTAAACTGGATTGTCCGTCTACAAAGCCTACAAGACACCCGATGTGTAGGTTGACTACTGCAAACAATACATACTAACACCCCCTCATGGACTGTGTCATAGGCTAGCTTTTCCTAGCAATAAATCTAGTCCCATTTGTCCAGGAAACTGTGTCGTGGTACATTAAGAACAGCACGATTCTTATGAAAACTTTTTATTCACGAAGAACTATACACTTACTTCTATTTGGCATAATTCAATAACCAGACTGGCTAGAGGGTATCAGCTTCATTGTGCAGAAGAGCAGAGACATTGTTCCCATATTTATTTTTTTAAAAAATATTTTTCAGAGGGGGAGAGAGAGAGGTCTTCCACCCATTGGTTTGTTTCCTAAATGGCTGCAACAGCTGGGCTGGGCCAGGCGAAAGCCAGCAGCCCAGCACTCTCCATCCAGGTCTCTCTCAGGGGTGGCAGGGAGCCAGATCAGAAGTGGAGCAGGCTGGATCCGACTGGTGCCCTTACATGGGATGTCCACATTGCAAGCAGCCACCTTAACCCACTGTGCCACAACCCCAGCCTGTCCTCGTATTTAGTATGACAGGTCTGAGGTACAAGGCCTGTGTTTTCAGACTCACGACTGTTTTTCCATGACTTGGTAATACATCATTTTAAAGTAATCCGATTTCACAATGTTTTACAGTATAAGAGTGACATCTTCTGCCAGGTGAACTCTGGAGCCAACCATCCTAATTAATTACCTCACAACCTGGCATGTTTTAATGCATTGTTTTACTGCTAACTCATTTCACAGCTATGTTTAAGGGCTCCATGAGCCAAAATTAAAGCAAAGTTGATTTGAAGGGACCCAGGAACACAGCCCTAAAGCAGGTTTTCCTGTTTAACTTAGGCCTGGCACATCCTCACCAACTGCTTAGATCACAAGCTGAGGCAATTTAGGGCTGGACCGCTGATGAAAGACAAAGATGTACTGACTGACTGACCCCTCCCTCCCCAGGATTAATTTCCCCATAACTCTTGTTGCTGGCCTATTATGTCATCAACAGGATAAAGAGCAAGACTTCTGGGGTCTAGAATATGAAAGGAAAAGGTCCAACTAAGCTGTTTATTTGGGGCCTTAAAAAGCCAGTGCTAATTTCACTCAAACCAAACTGAGAAAATGGTTCGCCACTTCCTGATCTGATGCTTAATCATCAGGGAAACCAGGAAATTCAACCCCCAAGCCAGAGGGGGAAAGGGTGGGCATTTCCAGACTTACAGATGGCACAAGAAGCCACAAGAGCTGCCAGTGTGCTAGCGGAAAACACCCAACTGGCTTGATGGGGAAAAGCCACCTTGGTCAACTCTGGTATTCTGTAGGATACGGAACCAGAGATTAGCAAGATGAAGGCCTGGGAGACCAACCCTCCTTAAGAGCCGGACTTCTTCGCCCCGGGGGCTCAGCTGCCTGAGAGGGGTTCTATGAGCTCCCTGAAATTCCAAGTAAAATTTTGGGTATGTGTTTGCCCGGTGAAGGGATCCTTCCTTTGAAAAATTCTGAGCTAAGAAAAGGAGTACGGCAGCTCCAAGCTAGAACAGAAAAGCCATCAGACACATTGAGAAGCCAGCCAAGTGAGAGTGCCTGCAGTCGTCACTGAGCAGCTGGAACATGGATCCACAGCAGACACAGCACTGTTTTGGTGCTCTGCTTCCTAACTGTATTTCAAGTCTCTTCAAAACAAGGCCCTGGCAGCCCCCAAGTCCTGGGAAATCTTGACAGATGCTCCGGCCAGTCATTCACCAAAATCAAATGCCAGGACAGAAGCTGTGACAAAGGAAGACTCCTTCTTCAATGGTCGGTGCTGAGTCCAGAGGAGGCAGCACCCAAGATGGAAGACAGTGGAACCTCTCCTTGGAACGGGGTAGGGATGAGGTGCCTGCCATGATCACAACTATCTTTCCCTTGATCTGTCCTTTCCAATTTCCGGGGATAAGGAAGAAAATCTTCTCTGAAGATACTTGATAATAATTCCAAAAAAAATCTTTCCAGATATCCTGAGGAAGAAAAACACAACTGTAGTATTACGAGAGTAACAGCAGCATAAAAAACAATTTCAGAGAGTTCAGATTTCTTCAACTTTTTGGAAATTATTATTATTTTTTTTTTTGACAGGCAGAGTGGACAGTGAGAGAGAGAGACAGAGAGAAAGGTCTTCCTTTGCCGTTGGTTCACCCTCCAATGGCCGCCGTGGCCGGCGCGCTGCGGCCAGCGCACCGCGCTGATCCGATGGCAGGAGCCAGGAGCCAGGTGCTTTTCCTGGTCTCCCATGGGGTGCAGGGCCCAAGCACCTGGGCCATCCTCCACTGCACTCCCTGGCCACAGCAGAGGGCTGGCCTGGAAGAGGGGCAACCGGGACAGAATCCGGCGCCCCGACCGGGACTAGAACCTGGTGTGCCGGCGCCGCTAGGCGGAGGATTAGCCTAGTGAGCCGCGGCGCCGGCGGAAATTATTTTTGAAAATCAATTTATTAGAGATTCATAGAGAACTCCAATCTGCTAATTCATGCCCCAAATGTCAACAGCCAGGGCTTGGCCAGCCAAAACCAGGAGCTGAGAACGCTATCCAGGTCTCCCACACTGAGTGGTAGGAACCCAAGTACTTGAGCCATCACCTGCTGCCCCACAGGCTCTGTTATCAGCAGAGAGCTGGAGTCGGGAGCCAGAGCCAGGTATGGAGACCTAGATGTGGGATGCAGGGGTCTTAATGGTTAGGCTAAACATCTGCCCTGAAGTTAGTTTTTTATTTTTTTCTTAAAAAATTATTACTTTTTAAAGATTTTATTTATTTGAGAGGAAAAGTTAGAGAAGAGACAGAGATCTTCCATCTGCTGGTTCACTCCCCAGATAGCTATAACAGCCAGCGCTGGGTCAGGCCAAAGCCAGGAGCCAAGAACTTCATCCAGGTCTCCCATGCGGGTGCAGGGGCCCAAGCACTTGGGCCATGTTCCCAGGCTTTCCCAGGCACATTAGCAGGGAGCTGGATTGGAAGTGGAGCAGCTGGGACTCCAAACTGGCACCCATATGGGGTGCCAGCACTGCAGGTGGAGGCTTAACCTGCTATGCCACAATACTGGCCCTAGTTTTTAAAATAATATTTCTTCTCCATTTCCGGCTAAATGACCAAAGCAATATAGAAGGTTCCATGTTAGTGAACATTTTTTAGCCTGTAACTCTTAGGATAAGCACAGCCTCATGATCTGATTGGGCAGTCACTGTTCCAAGCAGGTCTCCATCCATGAGACCAGCCTCCTCTTCCCCTCCAGAGTCAAGGCTACTCTGAAATACTCTCAAAGAGTAAATGCAAAAACAACTATTCCAGCTGGCGCTGTGGCTCAATAGGTTAATCCTCCGCCTTGCGGTGCCAGCACACCGGGTTCTAGTCCTGGTCGGGGCACCGGATTCTGTCCCGGTTGCCCCTCTTTCAGGCCAGCTCTCTGCTGTGGCCAGGGAGTGTAGTGGAGGATGGCCCAAGTGCTTGGGCCCTGCACCCCATGGGAGACCAGGAAAAGCACCTGGCTCCTGCCATCGGGTCAGCGCGGTGCACCGGCTGCAGTGCGCCGGCCGTGGTGGCCATTGGAGGGTGAACCAACGGCAAAGGAAGACCTTGCTCTCTGTCTCTTTTTCTCACTGTCCACTCTACCTGTAAAAAACAAAAACAAAACAACTATTCCACGGCAAGGAATGGTTCATCACAAGTCCGCCAAGGGCAGCCGTGCCCTGCCTCACCTGGGTCTAGTTCAGCTGGCGGATGAGCTGATTGATGCGTTCACCCCGATAGCCAGGTGAGCCCATCTCCTTGAGGAAGCCCACTCTGTTCTTGCTAGCATGACGGGCCACTGACAGCTGGAAAGGGCGCAGGAACCTCGCAATATTCTGGAAATACTTCCCCGGGAAGGCAATTTCATGAATGAGGTCTTCCAAGCAGATGACACCAAATCTCCCTAAGAAATGCAAGGGCACAAATTCCTTTATTCGACATTGGTCTAGCATAACAGCTCTAGATGCAGAGCTGGGCGCTATGGCAGGTTCCTGGGACCCCAAAGACAGACCGTGGGTCCAACATCAAGACGCCCGCTTTCTGCCTTAACTGACCCCTAACCACAGCACTTACCCAGGTGCTCCTCAATCACGGTGTTGTCTGTCAGAGGGATGCTCTTATCGTTGACCCTTGCTTGCCCACGTTTCAGGATGAGTTCCCGGACAGACTTCAGATTTGGAAATCTATGGAAGGCAGAATAAAGTAGAGCCTTAGCCACTGCAGTACCGCGGTCACGTTACATTCAGTGGGCTCCGTGTAGCACACAGGTCACTTAGTCCTGCAGCCTGGCCGAGGGGAAAGGTTTGGGAAGTTCTCCCCCACTCCATTCCAGCCGAGGAGCTTGGGAATCCAGGAAGGAGGAGATTAAAAAACTAGAGTGGCCCTGACTATGTAATTAAATTTTTGGATACAAATACTCACCGAGCAAAAAAATTTCTCTGGGAAAAAACAAGCATGCAAGAACAGAGACTACGACCCGGCTGAAAGTCTGCGACTCCGGCCTCAGGTGATGTCTGCTAGGGTGTGGAGGAGCTGGAAATGAAACCCGTGCCTCTGCTGCGTCTAGTGCTTGAGGAGCAGTGCTGTCACACAAGCACTGCCCCAGCTCAGCTTCCGGAAGTTAAGAACTAACCTCCTTCACCCACCTGAGCCTCTGCCTGCCAGCAAACAAGCCCAGCTCTGCTGCTGCAGACCATTGTCCGCATGGCTGACCCCTCCCATGTCCCAGGGTTCTGGATTTCTGATGACTGTGGTCACAGCAGAATGAGCCTGGAGGAGGAAACCCTGAGCACTTAACACACTCGCCTGCGAGCTGATGTGAATTCACATGGAAATCCTACTCACCCCCAGGTCACGTAAGGTTCCACTATCCGCAGCAGTTTTAGGTTTTGGGGGGTGACCTGGACAAAGACGCCACTGAACAGTTTCTTCAGGCGAAGTCTTGCAATGGTCCTCTCCACCAGTGAACTCACCCCGTTAATCCTGAAGTGAACGGCAACAGTCAGGCTCTGTCTCAGGTCAGTTCCACAAGTACTCGGCAATGTGGGCTACTGCCCTGGGCATCCACACAGAAAGACACAGACCACATCTTGAAAACCTCACTTTGGGCAACGTTGTGGTGTGGCAGGTTAAACTGTCACCTGTGACAAGCCAGATTCCGATCCAGCTCCCTGCTAATGCGCCTGGGAAAGAGCAGAAGATGGCCCAAGTGCTTGGACCCCTGTCACCCACAACAGAGACCCAAAGAGAGTTTCAGGCTCCTGGCTTCAGCCTTGCCCAGCCTGAGCCATTGTGGCCATCTGGGGAGTGAACCAGTGAATCAAAGATCTGACTATGCCTCGGGTCAGCACTGTGGCATAGTGGGTAAAGCCGCCGTCTGCAGCGTCGGCATCCTACATGGGTCCTGGCTGCCCTCTTCTGATCCAGCTCTGCTACAGCCCAGGAAAGCAACAGAAGATGGTCCAGGCACTTGGACCCCTGCACCCGGAAGAAGCTCCTGATTTCAGATCAGCTCAGCTCTGGTCATTGTGACTGTTTGGGGAGTGAACCAGTGGAAGGAAGACCTTTCTGTCTCTCCTTCTCACTGTCTGTAACTCTACCTCTCAAATAAATAATTTTTTTTTTTTTTTTCAAAAAGATCTAACCGTGCCTTTCACATAAATAAAACACATCTTAAAAAATGATAGTAAAAGCTCAGTTTCAGGAGACACTCTCAGTAAACACATCACTTACCTGTGATGTGCAGCAATGTCTGGGGTGCTATGGGAACGTAGAGGGGATCCCTGAATTTGTGGGGTAGAAGGTATGTAGGATTACCCATGACTGGCTAAGGAAGCTGGACTTGTTTCTACACACAGTGGAAGCTACTCAAGGTTTTAAGTCAAAGACACAGTCAGATTTCCCGACAGTCACCGAGGGCGGTGGCTAGCACAGATCTGAGTGGGACAGCAGGGGAATCCAGTGAGAAAGGGCTCATAAGCAGTGATAAGTGGGGTGAAGAGGACGGGGTCAGATATTCAGACCCACATATTTCACAGCAGGTGGCAGAGCTGGACGTGCGGCTAGACGGTACCAGCAAGTGTGGAAAGTGCCCCCCAGTGCTGATTACGCTCTATCCACTCCACTGTTTCAGTTCCTACAAGGAGGGCTCACCGCCCCCACCCCCCCAACTTCTGCACATGTGCCTGGTAAACCTCATGTGCTTCAGGTCCAGGTTCAAGTTCCTGCCTTAGTGAGGGCATCCTCAAACACCCCGCCTCCACTACCCTGCCCTTCCCGTTGAGGGCACTTACTTGAACCCTGCAGACAGAAACTCTGCACTGTGCTCAACTCTAAATTCCAGGCACGATTTGCCTTAGGGGCTTGGGGTCTAGCATCTCTGTATCTTCCCAGACAGGGGCCTAACGCTGGATCAAGTTTGCCCTAGCCTCAAGGAATCCAAAACTCAACCAGTTCCCTACCTTTGGAGCCGTACAACAAAGGCCAAGGAATGCTTGTCTGGCATTTCCAAGGCACGAGGTTTCACTTTCAGTCGTCGGAGCCGGACTGCATCCCGTCGCTGCCGCCAGGAATCGTGCACGAAGGACTCCAGTCGCTTAAACCTGAATTCTTTTCTTTTCCTCTGTCAGAGAAGACAGACGGTCATCTTCAGCATGTTCTGCCTACAGTCATCTGTATGCCTACAGCTGTCATTCCTGATACTGACAGAGTGTATTTCTCCCTGTGTTCTACAAGGACAAGCAAACAAGCCTCCTCTATTCTTATGAGGGTATTTAATGGAGTTAAGATTTCTTTCTTGCCGGCGCCGTGGCTCAATAGGCTAATCCTCCACCTTGCGGCGCCGGCACACCGGGTTCTAGTCCCGGTTGGGGCGCCGGATTCTGTCCCGGTTGCCCCTCTTCCAGGCCAGCTCTCTGCTATGGCCAGGGAGTGCAGTGGAGGATGGCCCAGGTGCTTGGGCCCTGCACCCCATGGGAGACCAGGAAAAGCACCTGGCTCCTGGCTCCTGCCAGGATCAGCGCGGTGCGCCGGCTGCAGCGGCGGCCATTGGAGGGTGAACCAACGGCAAAGGAAGACCTTTCTCTCTCTGTCTCTCTCTCTCACTGTCCACTCTGCCTGTCAAAAAAAAAAAAAAAAAAAAAGATTTCTTTCTTATGGTGCCCAAAATTTTGAAGTTGATGCTTAGTTTTTACATAAGGTACATATTCCTATGAATTTTTTTTGAGAGGCAGAGGGAGAGAGAGTGAGCCAATCTCAAACTGCTGGTTAACTCCCCAGGTGCCTGGCAGACAGCAGCCAAGAGGAGCTAGGAATTCAAGCGGGTCTTCACTCCCAGGTGGGAGGGCCCACATCACCTGAGCCCTCACTGCTGCTTCCCAGGGTCTGCCGAGCAGGAAGCTGGTGTTCAGATCTGGAGCCAAGAACTGAATGAACCCAGGCACTCCGATGTGGAACGCTGATAGACTATACTCCTACCCCTCCATGAACTTTCTGAAGACCCAATATATGTATGTTTCCAAAATTTTTTGCACCAAAAGAATGTTATCTTTTAATTTCATTTCCCACGGATTCATTGCAATATCCTAGCATGCGGGAGAAGTGAGAAATCCAAGAAAAGATGAGAAAATGCGAATCCTTAAGATTTCTGAGAAATAAATAGTCTAATGTGCTTTCAGCCAGTGTTTACCAACAAGTATTTATGGAACCTAACATTATGTTAAGTGCCACGAAATACAAAACAACCATCTGTTTCTTGTTCTCTAAATACTTATCTCCAGACACTTAGCATCTGAAACAATGGGGCGGGTGGGGGCTTGTCCAAGGCGAGTCTAGACCAATGCGTGCTGAGTAAGATTCACCAAATACAGATCCCAACGCCTTTTTCCCGGCTTCCCGGCATTACCTCCCTCTTGGCCAAAAGCTCCTGCTTTGCCTGTGTGGCTTTGAGGGCTTGATAAGCCTTCCTCTTTTTCAGGAGATTTTCTGGAACCAATGGAATCCTTTTTCTTTGCCTGATACAGAAATTTGAGATTAGCAGCAATAATATGTATGAAACGAACACTCAGTGGATTGTTCCCACCAAAACCATATCCTAGGCTTTGGGGAACACGTCCATAAAAAAAGCCCCAAGGACTGAAATTCCTGGGAACCCTTCGATCTCCAAACGGGTTCGTAACGTTCACTCGTTCCCCAAAGCCTTAAAAACTCAGGAATCCCCAGGTCGCTGGATTCGTATACATCAGTGAGGCTTTTTATCTATTTAGAAAATACCGAAGCCTTTCATAGACTCTGGCAGCGATTAAGACTCTAGTGAAACTCAACGGGACTGGGACAAGTGTAGACCCATATACAGGGTGACTACTTAAAGAGTGGGTGATCCGAAATCTCGCACTGTCTACACCGCTGCAGAAAGTCAATCCTCGCCCCTGGAGCTAATCCGAACATCAAAACGACCCCCTCCCGTCTCAGCCCTACAGCGCCTCACTCATCACCCCCACACTCCGTAACCTAGAACATTTTAAACTGTCCTTGCTCTACAGTCCACCTTAGTTTGCGCCAACGAGGCATAAACACGTGGATGGAATCGGATACTCAACGCCCCGCTCCAGAAACCCAAAACATCCAACACTCACTCTTCTTCCGCCATCTTTCTTCAGCGGCAGCTACTGCACATGCGCACCGCACCAGTTGTTGCCGAGAGGAGCCGCTCTACGTTTACTTGACCATAGAGACGTCTATGCGTACTTGCCCGCACTCTGGAGGACCAGCACGGCCGGCGCCTACTTACAGCCGGGAACCGCTGCGAAGAGGGCCTGCCAACCCTGATTCCTGACAGTAGTTACACAGAGCTTCCTTCACAATTTTCTAAACCCAGCTGCTTTCACTGAAACTACATTTCCGCGGATCAGCTGGGAACAGTAACACGTTTCCCACAATGCACCTGGGGCTTCCGCTGTCGCGTCGACGCGGCGTTTCCGGCGGGCGCTCTGCGCAGGCGCGAGGTCTCCTTTTCGCTGGGCTGGGAGCTCCGGGAGCTGCGGCTTTGGTGTGGGTGTGGATGGAAGCGGTTGTTTGTAGGCGGCTTACGGTGAAGAATAAGGCTGCCCGAGTCCGTGCGCTCAGCTCCGTCGGGACCCTTGAGGGAGATGGTTAACCTCGCTGTATCTCGGTTTCCTTACCTGTGCAATGGCTGCCATGGGGCGTTCACCTCCCAGCGTTCCGAGGAGCTTACAATGCTCTTAGCACAGTGTCTGACAGTGAGCGGCTGAGCTGAAACTAGCAGTCCACACTGCCCCCTGCGAACTCTTCCCCCGTGTAGCACCCGCCGCCGGGAATGTGCGCTGCTCGTGTTCCGGGTCTACATCAAGTCCTTGGAGACGACTCACGTCTGTCGTCTGGAAGGCGCCAGAGCATCGCTGCTCAGGCGTTCCCATGGCCAGGACCCTGTTAAGATGCAGGTGTTGATTCCGGGGTTGGGGGAGGGGCAGATTAGCAGGGCTCTGGTGTGGTCTCTGCTCTCCCGGAATGCTTTTCATGGTGTAAGAGAGTGGTCCCAGGTGGCGGTGTTGTGTTTTCGTTTTTGAATTATAGATGTGTTTGTTCCCTCAGCGCATCCGTGTTCGGTTTTCATTATTTCTTCATGCTACTGGCAGGGCGGGAGCCATGCCTGCCTTGCTCATCCTGGGTCCTAAGGCTCTAGTGCCAGTTTTCCAATCTTTGCATAATTGACGTTTTGGGCCAAAAATGTTCTTGGGACTGCCTATGCATTGCATAATGTGTAGCTGCATCCCTGGCTTCTGTTAGCAATGCCAGCAGAACCCCTATTCTTATTGTGACAATTGCAGATGGCTCCGGGTATTTATCCTATGGGTCTAGTGCAATGTCGTAATTTAACAGCACTTAAAGTCATCACCATCCTATATCATTGACTTGTTCCCCTAACTAGATTGGTATTTTTTTCCCCTTGATTATTTGAGAGGCAGAGAGAGCGAGCCCTCATTTGCTGGTTCACTCCCCAGATTCCCACAACAGTTGGGGACAGGCTGAAGCCAAGTGGCCAGGGACTCAAACTGGGTTTCTCACGTGGGTAGCAGAGAGCCAAACTTGAGTCATCACCCCTGGCTCCCAGGGTCTGCATTAGCAGAAAGCTGGAGTATCAAAACAAGGCACCCTCCTATGGGACCTAGACAGTAACTGCTAGGTCCGATGCCCACAGATTGGGTGTTGCTGGAGGGTGGGGAATTGAATTCTAATAAAACACCTGTTAACACAGTGGGTACCACCTTCAGGGGCTTGTGAACTGTGGCTGAGCTCACTGCTCAAGACATCATACCGTAGGTGCTAGTAAGCAGTCCAAGCAGTTAGGGCCATGGACAGAGCTCCTCACTACCTGATGGATCAACGTCAAAGGGCACAGTCTTCAGAGTCACAGAACTGTCGCTGGACGCTCATTCGCACAGCGCCTCACCATGTGTCTCACAAACAGGCCGAACAGGAGGAACCGTGAGGTGTAGGCCATCCATTAAATCAGGAAACAAACGACAGAAATGGCAGTACTTTGCTACTTCCCCTGTCTAATGGATAACAGGTATCTGTGGTACTATAATCCTGAAGGGAGAAGGAATTTCAGGGTCATGAACAATACTCCCAGCTGAGTGGGGTCTTTTATTTTTTCTTTGCTGGAGACAAACATCTTTATTAAAGACAACACAACTTGGATCAACATTAGTTCAAAATCCTTCTATTTTTGACTACATAACTTATGTTCAAATGGGACTTTGAATGTCAGGATTTGGGAAATGGTTTTCTGATGCCAGTAGATGGTGCTACGAGAGTACTTATTCTCAGTGCCAAAGGCATTGCCCCACCAGACTGACCCAGAGAACAAGGGAGGGAGCCCTCTAAAAAGGAAGAAAATTGGCCAGTGCCGCGGCTCACTTCCCTAATCCTCCGCCTGCGGCACCAGCACCCCAGGTTCTAGTCCCGGTTTCTCCTCTTCCAGTCCAGCTCTCTGCTGTGGCCTGGGAGGGCAGTGGAGGATGGCCCAAGTGCTTGGGCCCTGCATTCACATGGGGGACCAGGAGGAATCACCTGGCTCCTGGCTTTGGATCGGTATAGCCCCGGCCGTGGCGGCCATTTGGGGAGTGAACCAACGGAAGGAAGACCTTTCTCTCTGTCTCTCTCTCACTGTCTAACTCTGCCTGTCAAAAAAAAAAAAAAAAAATTGTTCACTGAGTTTGTGTTTACTGAGCACTGATCATGTACCCTAGCACTGGGGAAGATCCAAGGTTTTCTTTTTTAAATTTAAATTTATTTATTTTCATTTTATTTTGGAAGCAGAGAGACAGATGGAGAAAGATCTTCCATCTGCTCGTTCACTCCTCAGATATCTACAACAGCCAAGGCTGGGCCAGGCCAAAGCACTTGGAATTCAGTCTGGGTCTCTATGTGGGTTGCAGGGACCCACCAGCTGGGGCCCTCACCTGCCTCCTCCCAGGATGTGGAATGGCCTAGACTCAAAGCAGGCACTCTTGTAGGAGATGCAGATGTCCTAAGCAGTGACTTACCACTGCACCAAATGCTTGCTCTGTAAGTTTTTTTTTTTTTTTTTTTTAGTATTTATTTTTTGGAAAAAGGGAGGGAGAGACAGACATCTTCCATCCATGGGGTGCAGGGGCCCAAGCACCTGTGCCCTCTTCCACTGCTTTTCCTAGGCACATTAATAGGGAGCTGGATTGGAAGTGGAGCAGCCGGAACACAAATTGGTGCCCATATGGGCTGCCAGCATCGTAGGCAGCGGCTTATCAACTACACCATAACGCTGGCCTGAGATTTCTTTTCAAAGTGAGGTTATTGATGAGAATGTGGCACAGCTATTCATACCTCAAGAATCTTAGTCCTGTGGCCGGCGCTGTGGCATAGTGGGTAAAGCTGCTGCCTGCAGTGCTGGCATCCCATATGGGCGCTGGTGCGAGTTCCAGCTGCTCCACTTCCAATCCAGCTCTCTGCTATGGCCTGGGAAAGCAGTGGAAGATGGCCCAGGTGCTTGGGCTCCTGCACCCGTATGGGAGACCTGGAAGAAGCTCCTGGCTTTGGATCGGCCCAGCTCCAGCCATTGCGGCCACCTGGGGAGTGAACCAGCAGATGGAAGTGCGTTCTCTCTCTCTCTCTCTCTCTCTCTCTCTCTCTCCCTCTCAAATAAATAAATAAATAAATATTGCCAGCCCCAAGAACCTTATAGTCTTTTTAAGTCTTTTCTCACAGGCTCTGTTCTCTTCTCGGCCACTTCAGTTGTCTACCAGTAGCGATTGGTTAAATACATTTTAGAAGACGGCCATTGTATGCAGTGAGCTGGTTTTCATGTCCTGAAGTCTCAGCAGTGGAAGTTTCTTGGTTTTTGGCCTGCCCACCTCCATCCATTCCCATTTCTTAACAGCATCTCATTCCTCTTAGGAACTGGGCTCGCCCTCATCATGTACAACTTTGGAAGCAGTGGGGGATATCAAACACAAACCTTTGCCTTCCCAATACTTAAGTAGTCTTTGGAAGACATTTCCAACCCTTTCTCACCTCCCCAGTGGGAGGGGGCCTGAGACTTGAAACTTTTCTGGGATTTTGAATCTTGAACAGAGTGATGATAGAAGAAACTAATCTGGGGCAAGACAGCTTCCATCTTCTAAGACTTCCTGGAGTTTCCTTCTTCCTGTCTGTAATACTACTAGACATCTGGTTACATTTGAAAAAGTAAAATACAAGAGTGGGTGTCGTGGCACAGTGGGGTAAGCCACTGTCTGCAAGGCTGGTAACCTATGTAAGTGCTGGTGCCATTCTATATGAGTGCTAGTTCAAGTCCTGGCTGCTCCACTTCCAATCCAGCTCCCTGCTAATGCACCTGGAAAAAGCAGCAGAAAATGGCACAAGTGCTTGGGCCCCTGCACCCACATGGGAGACCTGGCTGGAGTTCTAGGCTCCTGACCCTAATCTGGCCCAGCCCTGGATGTTTTGGCCATTTGGGGAGTGAACCAGATCTCTCTCTCTCTCTCTCTCTCTCTCTCTCTCTCTCTCTCCTTTTCAAATAAAAAAGAAAAAGTAAAATACAGATAAGGAGAAAAAGAATGGTCTCAGATCGTTGTTTTTGGGTGTTTTTTTTGGCTATAGATGTATTTTTATGGACAAGAAGGTGTTGGTAGGGTTAGTTAAAATATGAAAGGCAGAATGATAGAGAGTGAGAGCAAGAGGGGGGTGGATCTTTCATCTGCTGGTTCACTCCCCAAAGGGCTGCAATGGTCTGGGTTGGGCCAGACTGAAGCCAGGAGCCTGGAGCTCCTGTCAGGTCTTCCACATCAGGAGCAGGGGCCAGAGGCTGGCATTGCTAGCAGCAGCTTGAAAGGCAGAAGGAGAGAGAGAGAGAATGAATATGTATATTCTCATCTGCTGATTTATTCTTCAAATGTCCATAATGGCTGGGGTTGGGCCTGATCAAAACCAGAAGCCAGGAACTCAATGTCCTGGTCTTCCACATGGGTGGCAAGGACTCAAGTCCCTGAGCCACCTTCTGCTGCCTCCTGGGCTCTGTATTAGCAGGAAGGCTGGGGTCAGGATCTGGTGGCAGGCATGAACCTAGGCCTTCTGGTATGGGACGTGGTGTCTTAAATGCTTGGCCAAACACCTGCCATATATTTTAAAAGTCTTATTTATTTGACTTAAATTATTTATTTGAATGGCAGAGTAACAGAGAGGGAGAGAGTGAGTGTTCTTCCATTATCTGGTTCATTCTCCAAATACCTGCAACAGCCAGGGCTGAGCCACGCTGAAGCCAGGAACCGGAGCTCTATCCGAGTCTCCCCATGGGTGGCAGGAACCAAAGTAGTTGAGCCATCATCTGCTGCCTCACAGGCACATTAGCAGGAAGCTGGATTGGGAGTGGAGGTGGGGCTTGATCCCAAGCACTCCACTGTGGACTGCAGGCAACACAGGTGGTGGCTTAAGCCACTGCACCCAATGCCTGCCCTGCAAATAAGACTCTTTCTAGGATCAACAGTTTGCGGTTGTCTGAATTGACTCCAGGATCCCTTTCTTTTCTTTTATTATTTTTAAAAGCTTGAGTTATTTGAAAGTTAGAGTTAGAGAGAGAGAGAATCTTCCATCCACTGGTTCACTCCCAGATGGCAGCCACGGCTGGGGCTGGGCCAGGCCTAAGTCAGGAACGAGGAACCTCTTCCAGGTCTGCCATGTGGGTACCCGAGGCCCAAGCACTTGGACCAGCGTCTGCTGCTTTTCCCAGGTGCATTAGCAGGGAACTGGATCAGAAGTGGAGCAGCCAGGTCTTAAACCAGCATCCGTATGGGATACCAACGTTGCAGGCAGCGGCTTAACCTGCTATGCCACAACGCCAGCTTCCAGGATCCCTTTCTCAGTATATCCTTGAATTAGTTATTTCAGTACTGCCTTCAATTTCAGATTATTTGGGATTCTACTCTTTTACCTAAGAGACAATTGAGCAAAGCCTTCCTAGTAAGGCAAAACCACCTCACCCAACACACGGCAACGGAGCTCCATCTGTAATCTCCCATCTATCCCAACCTTGTTCTCGGGTTATGACTCTTGTAGCTTCATTGTTTTGAGTTCTGCCCTGTGCATCCTCTGAGAGCGACAATGGGATACCAGGCAGCAGGAAGGGGAGTTGAGCAGACGACTTGGAGAAGACAACATGGCCAACCGCTTTTGATCTTGACGAAGAACAAGCCGAAGTGGGGAGGAATGGGGAGAGAACAGGTGAGGGGCACAGCCTTGAGGGTTGAGGACAGACACAGGACAGCCAGAGGAAGGACACAGTGTGTAGTAGGTAAGGCCAAAAGCAAAACCGAAAAATTGGCCCCTCTGAATTATTTCCGAAGTGATCTGGCACTAGCATTTTCACTCTCCACACTTGTTCAGTTTCCCACCCTAGGAAGCACAGGGCCAGGACAATCTTCCTGCTTCGTAGGCCAAGACACTGAGGCAGAGAGCAGCTTGCAGAGATGCATCTGCTGCTGGGTGGCCACCTTCCGGGTTCTGCTCCTACTTCCTGCCCGCCTGAGACATTGCTTTCCTTGGCCTTCCCAGGGGTGATTTTCCCCTGAGAACGTTCTTGCTTTTGCAGGTGCTGTCAGAGGCCCCACTCCCGCCGCCCAGAGGAATACAGCCGAGGCTTTCAACAGAGGAGAGTGGCCAGGTGGCCCACGTTGCAGAATGCACCTGACCCTGGGCTGGGCTCCCACGTCTGCGTGTGTGCAAAGCCAGCTTTCCCCCCGGACTTCACATTTAATTACAAAACCCTTGCTCCTCATCCCTGCACGAAGCATCCCACTTTTCTCGAACTTCATGCAGAAAGCCATGCCGAGAGTCAGGGCGTGCAGGGACAGACTGCATCTCGCTGCCAAGGGGCAGTGTGGGACGTCTGCTCCCACTGCTGTCCTGAGCCCCAGGCTGCCCCCTAGTGACAGGGATTTGTGCACTTGTTCCTTGTAGACTCTGACTCTCGCTTATCCTGGGGTCTAGCTGCTGCACAGCCCAGAGCTCCAGAAATGCTGCTGGTGAATGCCGTCCACCTTCACTGGGTACCCAGGGGGGCTGAACTCCCGTCTGAGAGAGCACCGCGGGGCTAAAGCAGAGCCAGACCCTGGAGTGGGGCCCAGCCCCCCGAGGACAGCACAGCTGGAGGCTGCAGAGGTTTCCTCCTGTTCCCTGATGTCCCCCCTCCACCAGTCCCACAGGCACCCGCTGGCCACTCTCCCTGCCTCAGAGGCCTCCTGAGCCCAGGGTCGCGGGAGGATGCGGGTCCCACCGAGCAGCAGGATGACCCTGCCTTTGACCTCTTCATCCTGGGGACACTCCCATCGCGCGGGGCCTGGAGGTGTCTCCTTGGCAGGGAGACAGGCTTGACCTCGGGGCCACACTGTAGATGACACTGAGGGCCCCATCTCCTGATGTCGTTGTTCTGACTTCCGTTCAATACATGGGAACAGCTTCCTACTCACACCTTGATTTCCTGCTGCTGCTAGTGCTGGGGTCTGGGAGCAATTAAACCATAATGGGGCGGCGGCGGGGGGGGAGGGGGGGGACGGCGCTGTGGTGCAGCAGGTTAACGCCCTGACCTGCAGTGCTGGCATCCCATATGGGCGCCAGTTCGCATCCTGGCTGCTCCTCTTCTGATCCAGCTCTCTGCTATGGCCTGGGAAAGCAGTAGAAGATGGCCCAGGTGCTTGGGCTCCTGCACCTGAGTGGGAGACCCGGAAGAAGCTCCTGGCTCTGGATCAGTGCAGTTCCAGCTGTTGTGGCCAATTGGGGAGTGAACCATTGGATGGAAGACCGACCTCTCTGTCTCTACTTCTCTGTGTAACTCTTTCAAATAAATAAAATAAATCTTTAGAAAAAAATAACAGAGGCCGGCGCCGCGGCTCACTAGGCTAATCCTCCGCCTTGCGGCGCCGGCACACCGGGTTCTAGTCCCGGTCGGGGCGCCGGATTCTGTCCCGGTTGCCCCTCTTCCAGGCCAGCCCTCTGCTGTGGCCAGGGAGTGCAGTGGAGGATGGCCCAGGTGCTTGGGCCCTGCACCCCATGGGAGACCAGGAAAAGCACCTGGCTCCTGGCTCCTGCCATCGGATCAGCGCGCTGCGCCGGCCGCAGCGCGCCGGCCGCGGCGGCCATTGGAGGGTGAACCAACGGCAAAGGAAGACCTTTCTCTCTGTCTCTCTCTCTCACTGTCCACTCTCAAAAAAAAAAAAAAAAAAAAAAAAAAAAAAAAAAAAAAAAAGAAAAAAATAACAGAGTATAAGCATGAATTCTATCCCCCAAAGAAAAATTTGCCCCCAGAAATATACTTCACCTTCTGGAAGATTCCCTAACGATTTGGGTGCCCACCTGGGTGGGCAGGACCACAGCAGGCACTCATGGGATTGATTTTACAGATATGGTTAGAAAGGTTCTGCTCCATGCAGTTTGGTCAAATATCTAACATGAAGGGAAACCTATTAACGCTGCAATAAACCTCACACAAAATAGTTTTCTTATCTACTTCCTTAGCTTTCTGCTCGTCCTGGTTGAAACAATGAAGTTCTCAGATGAGCCCAGGACCCAGCCCACAGGAGTAGGGGTGGGGGTCTCCTCCCCAAGCAGCTTGGTTTTCATTTGTAACTGGCTGGAACGGCTGATATTAAAACCCTGCCCCTCACTGACGGTGCTGCCTTTTGGCAATGGCATTTACACTTACCTGCTCCTTCCGGGCCAGGCAGCCACTCCTACTTGCAAAATCAAGACAATCACAGTTGCACATTTTCCCAAATCTTTGGCTGTATTGCAATGGTTGTTTCATTTTGTAATCTCCAACTAAACATTTCCTAACCATGGATTAACAATATAGTTACTGACTGGTTTCTTTTAACAGTATTTATCCAACATAACAAAATAAACTGCAATTTGTTATACTTTTTTTTACAAAACATTTTATAAATATTTTTACAAAATGTATACAAAGCAATTTCAAGTGAGACATACTATACAAATGAAGGTATTTAAGCAAATAAAGCCCACACCACACTGACAGCGAGTGACGCGTCCTCTTATTTAAGTCAAGTCAGTCTGTAAGGCCTCCCTAATCTAACAGAGTCTACTAAATTCTTCAGAGCTAAAATATTTCTTTTTCGTAATTGCCAGTTTAAAATTTGCTTTATCTTTAGGCAGTACTTAAGGACACAGAAAATCAAATGCTTAATAAAACAAATTCACACTTTTCCACAACAACAACAGAAAAAAAAGAGAGAGAGAGAAAGAAATAAAATGATTTTTGTTATTGAGTACAAGTAGTTTTAAACTTAACTTTGACTAATGAACCTGAACAACTGGATGCTGGCCATCCAAGGCTGAGCTCTCTCACCCTCCACCAGAGGGCGCTCCACATGCGAGCCATGACCCATGTGCGCATAACCTAATCACAGGAGTAAAGTACATTTTGTAATCTTCATTTGTCATTATCTAAAGTCTTTCCTCCATAAAAAGTAAACTGACACACAAGGACACAAAAATTTACAAGTTTCATTTTGGTAAGTTAGGCTCTCCATTTGCTAGACAAGTGTTTGTGGTTAGAAACTCTGTTAAGATGGCGTATAGAAAAGCGAGGGTTGGGGTGGCAGGGCAGGGCAGGGCAGGGCTGGGAACAAAGATGAGTGACAACTGTACATCAATCTTATCTTGTCTCTTAAGAATTCCACTGATTCGCAATAATTCATGTATTTCACAAGCAGCCTATTGAGAAGGCTTCTGGGCATCAAATTCCACAATGAGAAACATTTGATCAGGAGGGACCATCTTTAGGTCTTGCTAGGAATTAGGGGAGCATGAACCCTAAGAGAAGAGCCTATGAAATCACGGGGTTCAGGCGGGGTGTTACCCCAGGGCTGCCCAAACAGAAAATTCCAACTGGCAATACCAACTTATCTTTCTAATATGTTACAATACAGGGTAAAGGGGAAACCTGCAACTTGGACATTGGCACAAACAAGGAAAAAATGGTAACCTCAAAATGGCCCAGATTTTCCGATATCTATTAGCCGGGCACAGGGGTGGGAGGAAGGGACGTTGCTACGATGCAGTCCGGCTGTCTCACCGAGCCTCTCTGCGTGGTGGGACAGAGGGGCAGGGAGGGGCAGCTCTGTGCTGCTGTTTGTTTTCTATCATCAGAAGCCTTCCTTTCCATCGTAGGCCAATCTGGAAAAGAAACGCCCAACGTGATGACAATGGGGGGTGCCCCCAATCTGGGGACAGCCAGAGCAGATCCTGGCAACATGCTAAGGTGGAGACCGGTGGGTACAGCTCTAAAGCCAGGGGAGAAGCAGAATAGATGAGAGGGCCAGTGAGTGTGTACCCGCTGTCCCAAGTGGCCTCTGGGTCCGCGCAGCTCAGACACATGCGCCCACGCTCGAGGGGGGAGGGAGCACATGAGATACTGTTAGGTAGCCTTCCCAGTGACAGGAGGTAAGTGATGGTGACAACAACATGGAGAATGGAAGTAGCAACGGAAATGGGATGGAAGGAACCTGGGAAAGCTCCCTTAAAAGAAGTACAAACAATAGAGCTCTCCGGGATGTTCACGGATGGGAACAGGGCCCTTGAACATGAACCCTGCCAGGGCGCATCCTTTGGCTCTCAGGGGAATCCTGTGTCTCAGATCTTGCCTCTCAGTGGTGGGCTGGCTGGTAACCTTTGGTTTGTCTGTGTTTTGGTAATGATTACTGCCGGGGGCGGCTGCTGCTCGCAGACAAGAAGAAGCATAAACAGGGCCAAAGTCCGCTTAAAGTTTAAACTGAAAAATTACAACATAGTGTTCAAACGCACGCGCTGCTGTTTGTTGTGGGAGAGGGTGCGGAGAGAGGTCAGATGAAACAGAACCCAGCGACAAACAGAAACAGACATCGGATGTTGGCTACGTCCAATTAGAGAATGCAAAACTCGTGTTTTTTTCTCGGTAGCTCACATATATGTATGCTTGTACATATATACATATTGGAATCCTCATGGCTCTCTCCCGGCCTCCCCGAACACTGCGCCACTCAACTCGTTTTTTGTGCCTTTCCTTAGCCTGGTGGAAGGATCTCACAGCATGCTGTGGCAACAAAGGAGGGAGCACTCCCTAGCCCGAGGTCAGCGCGGAGATGCTGGAAAGCATGGGGAGCACTGCAATGACCCACGGGGGGGCCCGGATTCCCTGCTCCTGGCTCCTCCCGGGAGGGGCCACAGGGGCCGCCAGCAGCCAGCAACTAACTGCTCAGAGCCAGCTGTGGGGGTGAGGGGTTGGGGAGAAGAGTCACGTGGTCTTTCCCCCAACAAAAAACAAACAAAAAAACCGTCAAGATGACCAAACCGAACAAAACTGAAAAACCCCAAAGGCTAAATTTGGAGATGCAGTGGGATATTCTTTTAAAAAGTAGCTTCTATCAGTGCTGTTTGATTTTCTTTAATAAGTCTGTATTTTTCAAATGACTTATGATTGTCAAAATTTTACCCAGGGCCAGGCATACTGTGGTTTCATTGAATTACAGTGTTTAAAAAAATAAACTAAAATAAAATAAATTTAAAAAATGACCATAAGCACTTGGAGAACACTTGAAATGTGTCGGGCCTATCAGACTGCTTGCTAACAAGGATTCGTTTTGCTCCAGGGGTCTCCCTGTGACCACGACGAGTATTGCTCTTAAACAAGGAACAGGACTGAGATTAGAAAGAACCACCTGTGATGAACGGTCAAGCGCGCTGGAGACAGGAGGCCGGTTCCGTTTGCTTTTGCCAGGGAGGAAGGGAACGTGTCCGGGGCGGGCGGCAGGGGGCGCTGCTGCTATTAACACTCTAGGATACTATTTACAGCTGCTTCTAAAATGGAGTCAGTTTCGACGACGCCTTCGCTGTGGTCCGGGATGAACTTTTCCAGGCAGTTTTCCTGCGAAGCCATTGGCGAGAAGTTGGGGAAATCTAACTCGACAGAGCCGCTGACCGCGGGCTCGCTCTGGGGCGGCCGCCCGGCCTTTTTAAGTTCCAAGATGTTCTTAAACGTCGTTTCCAAGCTCTTGGTGAGCTGGAGGTCCGGCTGGGGCTCTCCGGACCCCTTCATGACGTCCGTGTGTAAAACGTCGCTCTTTGGGGAACTCCTCAAGGTTCTGTCCTGGAAGGAATTGTTACACGCCAGCTCCGAGGGGGACTCCCCCAGGATGCTGGCGAGCGGGCCCTCGGCGCCGGGCTCCGGCCTGCAGGAGGGCTTCCGGGGCCCCTCGGGGCCGGGGGAGCACTCGCGGGCCTTCAGGGGCTCTCTCCGGCTGCCCTTCTCGTCCGAGGTGCTCCGGTACTGCACCAAGCCCGCTTTGTCCAACTTCAGTGCTCTGCCGAGGCCTTCTGCTTTTTTAGAAATGCTTCCCTCCGCAGAGACCACGATGTGATTAGGCACTAGAGGAAACTGGTCATGGTTCGCAGGCTCTGCCACGCCGGCTTTGGCTCGGTCCCTGCCCGGGGCCTTGGCCGTCAGATGGAGCGAGCTGGGGGTCCTGCTGCCGTGCTGGTCGCTCCTGCAGAACTGGGGCTCTGCAGCGGCCTTGTCGGGTTGGAAGGAGCAACAGAAGTCAGCCTGGAAACCCTCTGGCGATGGGAACAGAGAGGACGTTAAGGAGCGAAGGGGAGGACCGCCCGACCGAGCCTCAGCGGCCACCCTGCCCCACCCCCAGCCGACCGGCACCCCGAGCACCCTGCAGGAGTGACCGAGGTTACAGAGCCGCAGCTTTGAGGAGGAAGCTGCCGGATGACAAGTGGGAACACCCGGTGGGCAGGGCAGGGCAGGTTATTTTCTGTCCATTTTTGTTAATGGCTGCTTTCAGAAGGTCTGAAAACGCAAATTGGGGGCTGGTGGCAGCCTGGCTCCTCCTCCAGCACGGGACCCTGGGAAGGGGCAAGCGTGGGGAGGGCGGAAGGCACCTGCACCCCTGCAGCCGTGTGCCAGGCACCCAGCACCGCTGCGCCCAGACCAAACGCTATTTGCGGAAGCACAGTGGGGAGCCTGAGCCCTGGGCGGCCAGAGAAGCGCCTGCGCAGCTTCGGGGCACAGGGTGGGCACGGGGTGGGCACAGGGGCTGCGGGCACTGACGGAGGCAGGCAGGCTGCTGTCACGCAGGGCGGAGAGAGTATTCACTCAGAGTAAGGAAGCGAAATACGGCTTTCAAAAAACCACACCGCGTATGTATGCAGTGGACGGGAATTTGCTGACCAAATTCAAAACAGGAGATCTAGGGAATACAGGCTTGTACTCTAAAAAATGACTCCATTCAACCAACTGGCTCTGTAGGTACACGGGGCACAGAGGCGGGGGAAGGGGGAAGGAAGAGGGAGGGCTGGTCTAAGCCAAGTCACCAAAAAAGGCAATAGGAGAGAGAGTTCAGGTCCCGAGAAAAAGGGACTGAAACCGACCCTATGTTATTCTCTTCTTTTCTGGGAATATTGGAGGATCCTGCTGCCTCTCCCTGCAGACCGAGTGTGAGGCCCGCGGGTTTGAGGGGACGTCAGAAAGTTCATAGAAGGCATTGTGGCACAGCAGGTTCAGCCACTGCTGGAGACACTGGCATTCCATAGCCGAGTGCCAGGTCAGCTCCTGGCTGCTCCACTTCTGATCCAGCTCCCTGCTAATGCACCCTGGGAGACAGCAGGTGATGGCCCAGGTGCTTGGGCCCCTGCACCCACATGGGAGACCTGGGTAGAGTTCCTGGCTCCTGGCTTCAGCCTGGCCTGGCTCTGACCGCTGTGGCCATTTGGGGAATAAACAGTGGATGGAAGATCTCTATGTCACTCTTTCAAATCAATAAATGTATTTTTTTTAAAAAGCTCATGGAAAAATGAAATTGAAAAGTTATTTTGAGGCAACATGTGTGAAACCATGAAGTTTTTTTCATAATATGTATTTCCCATAAACTTTTTGAAGTCCCCTCATATTCTATTTGTCAATTTCTTGAACCACATCAAATACAAGATAGAACTTTTTTTTTTTTTGACAGGCAGAGTGGACAGTGAGAGAGACAGAGAGAAAGGTCTTCCTTTGCCGTTGGTTCACCCTCCAATGGCCACCGCGGCCGGCGCGCTGCAGCTGGCGCACCGCGCCGATCCGATGGCAGGAGCCAGGAGCCAGGTGCTTTTCCTGGTCTCCCATGGGGTGCAGGGCCCAAGCACCTGGGCCATCCACTGCGCTCCCTGGCCACAGCAGAGGGCTGGCCTGGAAGAGGGGCAACCGGGACAGGATCCAGCACCCCGACCGGGACTAGAACCCGGTGTGCCGGCGCTGCTAGGCGGAGGATTAGCCTAGTGAGCCGCGGCGCTGGCCAAGATAGAACTTTTATACTTTAGTGCCAGAAAAGACATTAGAGAAATGAGAGTGAAGCCACAGAAAATTAATAGTCCAATAGTAAGGGGATGAAATAAATTAACAAGCTACTATAATAAAATATAGGAAATATTATTTCCAAGACTACAGCAACATGATGAAAAACTTCAGATACATGGCATGCAAGAAAATTAGACTACAAAATCCTATCTAGAGCTGGAAAAAATGTGGAGAGGAAGGCATTCCTTTTATAAGATGGTGAAAGGGTGGGTAAGATTCCTATTCTCTGAATTACCACAACATCATTTGATTTAAGAAATTGTAGAGGCTAGGAAAAATTACAACTCATTGTTGCAGCCGGTGCTGTGGCATGGCGGACAAAACTGCCGCCTCCAGTACAAGCATCCCATGTGGACACTGGTTCGAGTCCCGGCTACTCCACTTCTAATCCAGATCTCTGCTGTGGCCTGGGGAAGCAGTGGAAGATGGCCCAAGTGCTTGGGCCCCAGCACCCTTGTTAGAGACCTGGAGGAAGCTGCTGGTTCCTGGCTTCTGATGGGCCCAGCGACTGGCTGCTGTGACCATTCGGGGAGTGAACCAGTGGATGGAAAAAGACCTCCTTCTCTCTCTCTGCCTCTGCCTCTCTATAACTGACTTTCAAATAAATAAATTAATTAAAAAAAAAAAAAAAAAAGGAATTCCTTGTTAAAAGGCAGAAGAATGTGGGCAAATGCGGACACTTGTGGCTGGCAGGCAGCTGCCGGGGGAGGACGGCCCGTTTGCGGGCTGGGGTCCGGCCCGGTTTCACTGCTGTTCCCCCAGCTGTAACCTGCACACAGCCAGGCACTCGCTAGCATGCTGACCGTGCTCATTTCTGGGCAGCCTTCTGTTCTCAGAAATGACAGGAGGAGGGAGAACTGTAAGCTTACAGTAGGGAAAAAAATCATCTAGCTGAACTAAAATTCCAGTCTGGATTTCCTAGAAGAGATGTCCTCCGAGTACGCGCGCACCACTCTTCTCTCTGGGCCGCCCCCTCCCCAGCCCCGCGGCCCCAGAACTCCTGTTCTACCCGCAAGTCTCAGCCAACAGTCAGCCATGACAGAGCCCACGGCCCTGTGGCCCCACAGTGCAGCCCCTGTCCCCACGCTCACTGACGCGCCTTACCAGGGTCCACGAGGGCCAGCCGCTTGTCCCGCGACAGGGACGCTCTTTCCTCCTGGTTGAACATTCGGTCGATCATCACCATCTCGGCAGAGGGGTTGATCCGCTGCAAGCGAGAGCGGCAGTCATTTCAGGGCCTTTGCCTAGGAGCAAACATCTCTCTGCGTCTTTGGATGAATGAGGCCATCAGAAATGCCACTCTGCTGTCTAGGTTCTGGGTGCCCACCTAGTCCCATCTCATCTGCTTACATCTGATGCATTATTTAAAAATGTGTTTTTTGGGAGAGGTAATTTTTACGCTGGTACACAATTCTCAAGGTAACTACAGGGCATGAAAACGCAAGCTTCCCTTCCATGCGTGCCTTGGACACCGCCAGCACCCAGCGCCTCCCCTGGAGGACACGCACGCGTTCACAGACCGCTTGGCTTGCACACGATGGTGGCAGCTCCACGGACTGCTCAATACACCTGCTTTCCTCCTTAGAAATCCTCCCAGTAGGGTGACCTCCCTTTTCTATTCTGCTAAGCTTTACGGTGTATTTTTATAAAGGCTCTCCCTGTTATTGAAGCTTTGCCGTCCAGAATCAAATCTGGAGCAGCTATAAGATGATCTGGCCCTTTCCTCCCCAGTGACACAGCTGGTGTTTTTTGATGTCTCAGAGTTTTGTTTCAGAAATGGTTGAACATATGAGAACTGTTAGACACTTCGGTGGCACAATCTTAAATATATATATTACATTAGGGGCTGGCACTGTGACATAGTGGGTTAACCAGATGTCTGCAGCGCCGGCATCCCATGTGGGTGCCGGTTCGATTCCCGGCTGCTCCACTTCTGCTCCAGCTCTTTGCTAATGCACCTGGGAAAGCAATGGAGGATGGGCCCCTGCACCCATGTGGGAGACTCGGAAGAAGCTTCTGGCTCCTAGCTTTGGTCTGGTCCAGCTCGGGCTGTTGTGGCCATTTGGGGAGTGAACCAGCAGATGGAAGATCTCTCGCTCTCTGTAACTCTGCCTTTCAGATAAAATAAATAAATCTTTAAAAACTTACATTAAAATTTATTTTTAAATTTATTTGAAAGGCAGAGAAAGGGGGAAAGCAGGACAGACACAAAGAAAGAGAGAGAGAGAGAATAAGAGAGAGAGAAAGAAAGCAAGAAAGGAAGAAAGAAAGAAAGAGAGAGAAAGAGAGATTGAGAGATATTCTTCCATCCTCTGGTTCACTCCCCAATACTCCCCAAATGCCCACAAGAAGTCAGAGCTGGGCCAGGCCAAACCCTGGAGCTCAGAATTCAGTCAAAGTCTCCATCGTAGCCGGCAGGGATCCAACTACCTGAGCCATCACCTGCTGCCTCCCAGGGTGCACATTAGCAGGAATCTGGAACAAGAATCGGAGCTGGGACTGGAACCCAAGTACTCTGATAGGCACTGAGGGCATCCCAAGTGGCATCCAGACAAACCCCCAACCCAGATACAGGTATTTAAGTACACACACACTCTGACACTATATTGTATAAGTGTGTCACGTCATTCAACCAATCTTCCAAGATACACTTTCCAAGTTGATCTCAACTTCAAAATGACTTGTAACAGACCAATTTATAGGTTAACGTTTATGCAATTTAGAACTACTTCCAAAACAGAATAGGTTGGTCTTTCCGTTATTTCCTGAAATATCTTACTCCTTTCTCTAATTGATGTTTCAAGATTAATTTTAGTTTCTACTTTGGGTGATGAATAGGTTCTGGAATTAGACAGTGCTGATGGTTGTGAAAGAGACAATCTATTGTTGAGTCTAATAAAAACCATCCAGTTGCACACTTTAAAACTAAATCTGGGCTGGCACCGCGGCTCACTAGGCTAATCCTTCGCCTTGAGGCGCTGGCACACCGGGTTCTAGTCCCGGTCGGGGCGCCGGATTCTGTCCCGGTTGCCCCTCTTCCAGTCCAGCTCTCTGCTGTGGCCAGGGAGTGCAGTGGAGGATGGCCCAAGTGCTTGGGCCCTGCACCCCATGGGAGACCAGGATAAGTACCTGGCTCCTGCCTTCAGATCAGCGCGGTGCGCCAGCTGCAGCGCGCCTGCCGCGGTGGCCATTGGAAGGTGAACCAACGGCAAAAGGAAGACCTTTCTCTCTGTCTCTCTCTCTCTCTCACTATCCACTCTGCCTGTCAAAACAAAACAAAACACAGTGGTTAAGGATGCAACTTGAAACATGCACATGTTCAAGTCCTGGCTCCTCTTCTGAATTGAGCTTCCTGCTAACGTGTTCCCTATGAGGCAGCAGGTGATGGCTCAACTAGCCGGGTCCCTGCTACCCACACAGGAGACCTGGACTGAGATCTGGGATGAAGACTTCAGTCCAGCCCAGCCCCACTGCTGCAGGCATTTGAATAATGAACTACCAGATGAAAGGTCTCTCTCTCTCTGTGGACTCTGTCTCTCTCCCTCACTGCTTTCCAAATAAAATGAAAATAAATAAATATTTTAAAAAAATTAAACTTGAATTTGAGATGTACACTTGAGACGCCATTTCAGGGGCCCAGTGTTGTGGCACAGTGGATTAAGCAGTCAACCTTGTGATGCAAGCAGCCCATAAGAGTGCTGAGTTGGGGTCAGGCTGCCTTTTTTTTTTTTTTTTTTTTAAGATTTATTTTATTTATTTGAAAGGCACAATTACAGAGAGAGGGAGAGACAGAGAGATAGAGGAAGCTCTTCCGTCTACTGGTTCACTTCCCAAATGGCCACAATGACCAGGACTGGGCCAGACCAAAGCCAGGAACCTGGAACTCCATCTGGGTCTCCCACAAGGGTGTCAGGGGCCCAAGCACTTGGGCCATCTTCCTCTGCTCTCCTAGGTGCATTAGAGAGCTGGATGCTGGCGTAGCAGGTGGTGGCTTTACCCGCTAGGCCACAGTGCTGGCCCCTGCTTCCCTTCTGACCCAGCTCCCTGCCAATGTCTCTGGGAGGGCAGTAGAAGATGGCCCAGATGCATGGGCTCCTGCACCCATGTGGGAGGCCCAGGTGGAGTTCCAGGCTCCTGGCTTGGCCTGGCTCTACCCTGGTTGTGGTGGCCATTTGGGGAGTGAACCAGCAGATAGAAGAGCTCTCTTTCTCTCTGTCTCACCTTCTCTCTCTATAATTCAGCCTTTCAAATAAATAAATAAATAAATCTTAAAAAAGCAAAAAACAAAAACAGAAGACACCACGCCACTTCAGAGTGCCAGAGTGCTTGGGTTCAAGTCCTGGCTCTGCTCCTGACTCCAGCTTCCTGGTAATGCTCACCCTGGGAGGCAGCACCCTGGGAGGCCCGAGTACTTGGGCCCCTGCCACCGACATGGGAGACCTGGATTGTGTTCCTGGCTTCTGCTTCAGCCTGGCCAGTGCTGTTTTGAGTAAGCCAGTGGATGGGCGATCTCTCTCTGTCTTTCAGAGAAAATAAATACATTTAAAATTAAATGTGAATTTTATGGTATGTTCATGATCCCCTAAAACAGATTTTAACATTGCCATCAGCTGGTCTTGCCTATGTTGTGCTGAATGATTCTCACTGCAGGCGCCTCCAGTCCACCTGCTGCACCTCTGGGTGGATAAAAGGCAGGGGCGGCATCAGTGTGGGGCCCACAGGGTCCTGGGCTGCGTCCCAACTCTGCCAACAACCCTGCAAACTTAGTAGGCAGTTATTTAACCAAAGTCCTGGTTTCCTCATTCGTTAAATGAGAAAATAATAGTCCTGATGAAATGTGATTTACCAAGGAAGGCACAGCAGATGCTGGCTGCCGTTACATGCAGCTAGTCTAAATATTTCTATAATCTGAACACCTGTGCCTTTAAAAAAAAGATTTATTTATTCATGTGAAAGTCAGAGTTACAGAGAGAGAGATCTTTCATTTGCTGGTTCACTCCTGAGTTGGCTGCAACAGCCAGCACTGGGCCAGGACAAAGCCAGGGGCCAGGAGCCTCATCTGGGTCTCCACACGGGCAGCAGGGGCCCAAACACTCGGGTCATCTTCCGCTGCTTTCCCCAGGGCACCAGGAGGGAACAGGAGCCCATATAGGATGCCAGTGCCATAGGTGGCAGCTCCACCCGCTACACCACAATGCCGGCCTCCATCTGTGCCCTGTAAATTATGTCTGATAACCTCATCCCCTGAACTCTTCCCCTGTGACAGTCGCTGTGACCTGGGGAGCTCTTGGCAGCACAATTCTTTACCATGGCATCTTCGAGGAGCAGGAATCTGTACTTGTTAAGCATTGCTTGGGTCCTTTTTAGGAGCTGCGTGGCAACTGTTTCGAATTCATTGTCCACTTTGAAGAGAGACAGGAAGAAAAGCAGTAAGAAAGTGTAAATCACGCCCAGGCTTCTACTTCTTCACAGCGAGAAGCACTACTTCTCCACTAGTCAAGCCTGTGGATCTGTGGCCATTTTCTCTTCTTAGACTCCCTTTTTCCTTGCTCATACATCATGCTTCTTCACTGTTTTCCCCCCACCATCCACATAGCCCATTTTAACTTTAAAGCAGAACAACAACGTAATGCCGCTAACACCAGCTGTAAAATAGAACCATGTAACAGGCCAGCAGCAACCATCAGCAGACAGAGCTGAGGCCATCTCCGCCTCCTCCCACGTGCAGCAGCCGGGACAGGGACGTGAACTGCCTGGGACAGGCAGCACAGTTCAATGTCAAGGTGCACTGCATCCTGTGCCCCCAATCTGTCCACAAAACACTCTGATATCTAGGTGTCCCCTTCCCAGAATACGAGAAGGATAAGCCACAATCCTAAACACAGACGGGGACACTGGGAACACTGGGGACAGGCTGGGTCTGTGATGCAGCCCCTCTACCGGCTCTTGCAGAGGGAGGGCGCCTGGCGTTAGAGGGTCCCCTGAAGTCAGAGCCGTGTTTACCTTTCGTCAGGTCTTCCTCCGTGGGCATGGAGCCCTGGCACACGTGGTAGGAGAGCAGTCTCTGCACCGCATCGCTTAACGATCGGAACTGACTTTTGTCGGGAGTCACAGCGTGGGCTTGGTCCCTCTGTAACTGCTGGAGAATGCTTTGAAAGAGAAATGGCCAACGTCACTGTCCAGCCATGGCAGGTGTCAAATCTAATCATGACGGTCATCTACACGCAAAGAAGCTAGGAAATACAAGGGGTCTGCAAAAAAGTTTGTGGGAAGTGGAATCAAAAGATCAGTTTGTTTTGGTGTACAAACTCTTGAAGTCATGCACACTCATTCAGGAATGTCCTAATTCACAGCACAGGAGATCTGTTCCCCTATTTGGAGTACCGTCGTGAGCTGAGTGTGTGCTCTATCCATCTCCACGAGGCGCTCACATGGACTTGGCTGGCTGACCACTGGCCATGTAAATTTCATGCAAACATTTCTGTTCTAAACATGGGAGTTTATCAGAGACCCCTGGACTGTAGAAAGTCAAGGAGCTGTTCTTCACAAGAACACAGACAGGAGGCTCAAGCCACAGCGGAGGTACGTGGGGTTCTAAGGAAAAAGAGCTCTAGGAAAAATGCTCACGGCGCACTTTACAGCAGGCTAATACATGCATGATTGAGACCCAACTTCTGCCGTGTTATTTCCTGCAGTCTGGGGACCTAGAGCGACAGTCGAAGCCCATGTGTCACTGTGGGAACTCACCAGGCTCCTTTCGTTAGCTGCTTGGCAGCGGGCCTTTTCTGTCCTCCCGAATGTCCGTCCACCTGGAGACAAAGCACACCTCTGAGCACCCCTCTCACGGACAAAGCAGAACACGACCTCACACGAGCGCATCTGTGGTCGCACCGCATTTCAGATGTTCCAAACCACCTCGCCCAGAATATTCCTTTTTTAAAGTTTATGTTTTATCTTGATTTATTTGGAATGCAGAGTAGCAGAGACTCAAGAGGGACACAGACAGATCTTCCATCCACTGTTCACTCCCCAAACTCCTGCAAGCCGGAGCTGGGCCAGGCGGCAGCCAGGAACCTAGACCTCCCTCCAGGTCTCCCATGTGGATGGCACGGACCCAAGTATGTGGGCCATCTTCTGCTGCCTCCCAGGGTGCTAGCAGGAAGTTGGATTGGAGTGGAGGCAGGACTGACTTGATCCAGGCACTCTCTTACAGGGCGTGGGTGTCCCAGGAGGCAGCTTAACTCACTGCACCACGATGCCCCTCCACCCCACAGGCACATTCTAAGACTGTAAAATGTGCCTGCTAAAAAAGAATACAAGCAAGGATGCAGATTCCACATAGCCAAACTGCTCGTCAAGACTACAGAAAGCTGTCCTGCCCGTTCCTTGGACGGCCCCAGTTTGTGCTCCAAGGCTGAATCCTTAACTCCTACAAATGCATCACTGTATTTCTGGAGGAATATATCTGTGGGTTCCAGCTCCACAAACATCTGAATGCTAGGTAGATACTACTGAATCCATTTTCTTAATGGTAAATAAGAGCGTGAACATTGATCAGCACCTGTTACAAACAGTCCAAGTGTGGTCTAATAGGGCATATCTTTGACAGGCAGAGTGGAGAGTGAGAGAGACAGACAGACAGAAAGGTCTTCCTTTTGCCGCTGGTTCACCCCCCAATGGCCGCTGCGGCCAGCATATCGCGCTGATCGGAAGCCAGGAGCCAGGTGCTTCTGGTCTCCCATGCTGGTGCAGGGCCCAAGGACCTGGGCCATCCTCCACTGCACTCCCGGGCCATAGCAGAGAGCTGGCCTGGAAGAGGGGCAACCGGGACAGAATCCGGCGCCCGACCAGGACTAGAACCCGGTGTGCCGGCGCCGCAAGGCGGAGGATTAGCCTATTGAGCCACGGCGCCGGCCAATAGGGCATATCTTACACGGTGTTGAGGTGACACACGTGCCTTAGGGCAGAGCCCGAGAACTAAACAGATCCTTTATGATGTCTGCCAGGAAAGTCTAGACTGTGCAAGGCCTCATTAAACTATTAATTGGCAGGTGTGAAGGAGAAGAGATAAAGGCATTAGTAAACTGAAAAAAAAATTTTCCTTCCTTTCTATTTTATTTTTTTAAAAGATTTATTTACTTATTTGAAAGGCAGAGCAACAGGGAGAAGTGGGCAGCGAGATCTTCCTTCCACTGGTTCGTCCCCTACATGCCTGAAACAGATGGGGCTGGGGCTGGGGCTGGGCTAGGTGGAAGCCAGGAGCCCAGAACTCCATCCAGGTCTCCCATGTGGATGGCAGGGAACCAGGCACCTGAGTCATCACCTGCTACCTCCCAGGAGCACTTGCAGGAAGCCGGACTGGGAGCAGGGTAAGTGGCGGCTTAACCTCCTGGCCAGGACGGCCTCTCCTTCCTCTTTGCATTAGTGGTTTGATATGCTTTGAGGTTCCGAAGCTAAACTGGGTCAAAAGACCTTAGGGACTGTCTACTCCTTATGTTCCTGGCTGCTACCACAGGAAAACAAACCTCTCAGCACAACCAGGAAGAACAAATCCCTCCTTGAAATGACAACATGCAATACCATTCCACAGGGAACTGTGTGTTTGGAGGGCCTGGCCAGTGCTGGCTGCGGGCACCGTATTCACCCGACCGTGAGGAAGTGACAGCTTAATGGAGCATTGTAAATATGTCAGAAATACCCTGGGCACGCGTCCTAGGAGCATAAACCAAACAAGGCGAGGCCCACTGGCTGAGTCTTCAGTGACCGCACTTCCGCGGGCACAGAGAGCCCAGGCTCACGGTGCTCCCGAGGCCCCACGGTGAGCACAGAGCCGATGACTGCGGACAGGAGGAGAGGACGGCAAGGCTTCCTACCTGCACAGCCGGCGGGCCAGGAGCTGATCCGACTACTTTTTCCTGCCGTGGTTGTGCAGTCCAGAATCCTGTCCTATTAGAATTAATACATACGACACGCTCAACAGAGGCAGTGACCCAGGCCCGGGGCACGGCCCCTCTGTCTGCAGCCCCCTGCACACTCTGAAAGGGGCTTCTTTCTCAGGAAGGCTGTGAGGAAGGTGAGCAGGGGAGCACATTTCTCCACAAGCCCTGGAGGCCGAGGTGAGGGTAATTAAAACCTCTTTGGGTAATAAATAGAACCAAGGAGCTGACTAATTAAATGCTAATAAAAAGAAGCTGCAAGGGCCATAGTTTCAAATTATCCCTAGTCTGAGAATGAGACCTCAAGCCAGTCGTCTATCAATACTGATGGACCCCAAAATGCAACTTCAGGGCACTGCCTGAGTGTTCGAGCTTTGTCTCTCTTTCGGGCCGACTCAACAGCCTTAGGAGAACCGGAACACGGACCCTGCCCTTTCACTGGGGGTGGGCTGGGGGCGAGGTGGGGGGCGTATATAAAGCCACAGCAGGTGATCACAGGTCACATGGGCCATGCAATTCTGGATTTCACTGTTTCTGAAAAGCATATTTTTGTCACAAAATTTAACCAGAAGCACTTTTTCCTTTCGTGGTAGCATCTCGCAACGGATGGTCTCGTCCCGCCACTGCAAGATGGCGTATTATTCAGGTGGAAAGGGTACGGACAAGGCCAAGGAGCAGGGTGGAGGTGAGATTAGGTCAGAAAGATCCCATGTAGGGCGAGGGAGGTGAGAGGAGGCTCCTCTGGTGCTGGGAGGGCAGGGCCCCACGGAAGAGAGTTACTACAAAGGCTGCCGACCTGGTGGTGCATCTGCGCCCGCACCAGGCCGTCTGCGGACATGGGGGGACTCTGATTCAAACTTTTTTTTCTGAGCCTGTGGAACATATCACTAAGACGGAAAAATTAATGTCATTACCGAATGCGTTAACACTTAAAACGCCAACCACGCCTCTTAATGCCTACCTGGCATCCCCTGCAGGCTAGACTACAAAACACCTGCTTCTCTTATCACAAGTGATCTCTGCTAGGGGGCAGCAGTGACACCTGACTCCTCCCTTGCTCTGGGAAAGCTGCGTCTATGCTGCTCAGATGCAAGGCGGGGACTCAGCTTCTAGCCCAAACTGTTGCTACCCCCACTTCTTAGATCTCACACCTCAGGGAGCAGGATCCTAACTACCAGCTCCCGGTGGACCGTGCCCGCTCAGGGTCCTCAGCCAGCACAGTAGGTTTCCTCTCTGCCAGCCGGTGTGTCTCTAGTTTGTGTTATGTCAGCATGAGGTGGCCACAAAACGGCAAATGTAAAGCCAATTAGATTTTAGCTAGGGTGAATATAATTAGAAAAATTAATCTGATGGTTAAACGCTTGTGCTTTGCTTTTCTATAAAAGGGGAAGACAGGGGCCAGCGCTGTGGCGTAGTGGGTAAAGCCGCCGACTGCAGTGCCATCATCCCACACTGGTGCTGGTTCAAGACCTGGCTGCTCCATTTCTGATCCAGGTCTCTGCTATGGCCTGGAAAAGCAGCAGCAGATGACCCAAGTGCTTGGGCGCTGCACCCACATGGGAGACCCGGAAGAAGCTCCTGACTCCTGGCTTCAGATCCGCCCAGCTCCAGCCATTACAACCATTTGGGGAGTGAACCAGCAGATGAAGATCTCTCTCTTTCTTTCTCTCTCTCTCTCTGCCTCTCTGTAACTCTGCCTTTCAAATAAATAAATAAATCTTAAAAAAAAAAAAAAAAAGAAGACAACGACAAACCAGATGGCATCTAAGCACCAACAAATTCCTTTTAGGTTTAAGGAAAAAAGTCTGCTGTCTCCACAGTGCTTTTGAAGTACAATGACACAGAGCTTTTAAATGACCCTCAATTTTTAATCCTCTCAGCTCTTACCACTTTGTAATACAGCGAATTTTCATTTTTTTTTCTTTTTCAACTTATAATGGGTTTATCCATATTTAATATAGTATTTCTCACCATGGGGACGTTGATCAGCTAATTAATATGCTTTAAAATTTTTATTTCTACATTAAATCTCTCTCCATTTCAATACTAGAGATATTGAACACATTTTTCAAACTTTTATTCCCCAGAGATAAGAGTTTAATATTTGGTTGACTATTTGATACCTAAGTACTATCTGAGTATTCACCGGGAGATGAAACATGAATCTAACAGAAAAGACTCCTCAGCAATCCCCTGATTATAACTCAACAGTGCTGACTTCCTAGCGTCGCAGGCCAGAGTCTCCTTCTTCCTATTTCATGTGCTTTGTGAATTCGGCAACTCGGCAACATTACCGAGTCAAATATCAGCCTTCTTACCACATTGGGCCTTTTTCTAACCAGCAACTAGAAATTCCAGGGTCCATTTTTCAGAGAAGAATTATCAATTCACTCCCATTTTGTGGGAAACAACTAAGAAACCACCCTGTTAACTTTTTAGGAACTTTTGGACGCCGAGGCTCCGGCTTAGCCCCAGTAGCACAAGGTTTTCAGGGCAAAGCCTGACCGGGGATCCCCTTTAAAGTTGCCCCGCCCACTTCCCCACACAAACGCAAATGCCTGCAAAGCTGAGAACACTCAAGACAGCTGGTGTCTCCGGCTTCTTCTACGGCTTCAGCAACGGGCCCCAGCAAAGACGGAGAAAGGAGGACCAGGAGTAACTGTGCTGAAATCGAGGTCTGGTTGTTAGGATCTTGAAGGCCGAAGATGGCCCAGGTACTCGAGCCCCTGTCTGCTGCCTCTCTGGGTGCACACTCGCAGGAAGCTGGAACTGGAAGTGGACGGCCCTGGAACCCAGGCACTCCCATGGGGCTGTCTCAGGTGGCATCTTGACTGCTCTGCCAAGTGGCCTCCCCTGGGTCCACTATTCTAGTC